CCCAGCCTTCAGAACTACAGCTCACGAGCCAACTGTGACTGCAGCCGGGATGTGACAGTAAAGTAAACCGCACGCACGCACACGCGCGCGCACACGCACACGCACACACACACACACACACACACACACACACACACACAGGGTATGATTGACTATAACAGTGTGGGTGGATGGTTGGTGAACTGGAAGATGGACTTTAAAATGAAGAGGACCTTGAATAAACAGGAAGTCTCCAGCTACAAGGAGCCTGGACTAAGCTAAAGGATGAGCTTGATTTTGCAGCAAAGGATGAGCAGTTATGACTCAGCTCTTTTAACACCTAGAGCAGGACATCTCTTTACTCTGATCTACTCTCAGACATTTAAACATTTACAATCAGGTGTATTAAATGCAAACAGGTGGCTTCCAACCAATTTAGTAGAGGGTACATACAGATAAATGCAAACATGTAAGTCCAATTTCACATACTGTATAATGCTCTGCAATCCGTATCTGCATGTGGGAGTCAATTGTTTAAAATTGTAATATTAATCTAAGCTACTTTCTACAATGCAACGTCAGGAAACAATCTAATTCTGTAAATCCTACTTGCATGTCTTGGCGTCTTGAAAAATTATTACATTTACATAAGGCAATTCATTAATTGAATACCTTGTAAAACGTTTCAAGGATCTGTAGGAAACCTTAAAATTGCTTAATATATATATATATATATATATTTGTTTTACTATTCTTCAATTCTTTATAAAGTATAAATATACTACCAATATATCCCTGAGCCAAGATCACTTTCCATTGGAGGACTCAGGCTCATAACAAATGAACAAACACTGTGATGACAGATGCCAAGAGGATAAAAGGTGATGACCACACTTTAATAATATATCATCTTATCTTCTGTGGAAAAGTACGGTCTTGTTCAAACGGGTCATTAATAAGTCTTTCTGAGTCTTTCATGGTTTAAGTGTATGATACCTGACGCTACATTAGGTTCTGGATGACCCAGGGGACTACGAACCACCGGACACAAAACAGCAGTACTATCGTCACTCAAATTCTCTCTTTCCTTTTCTTACTATTTGTTGACATCCATAATTCATCTCTTTCGGGTTTTTTGTTGGTTACAAAAACAACCCAAGCATCAAGATCTTAGGCAGAGCCCGAATACTGCTCTCTTAATCTTATTCACTTCATCCAGTTCACACATTAATCATATAGGCTAACTGCTACACATAAATCATTGTGCAATCACATAAACTATAGCTAACCCTCTGAATAGGAGATGCGTGTAAATATATGAATATAGGCATCCGTCCACAACAGCATACTCATTAACTACAGATTTTATTTTGTATAGGTATGTATGCAACATAAAAAAAGGTGTGTTTGTGTTTGAAAGTCACTTTAGGCCATCCCGCACAATAGGAAACTCTCTTTTATAAATACTGTATGGGATGTCCGTGCTCTGTCTCTATTTCATATAAGGGGCCCTTGCCTTTAAACATGTTAAAGACCCCTGCTTCATTGTTTGATGTTGGTGCATTTAGGCAAATTAATTCTTAACTCTAGAAATACCTGGTTATGCTGTAAGGTTACTAAAAGTACTTCCCGCCAATTAGAGATTTTTCAGTAATCATTATGAATCGACCCATAACACACATCTAACAACGTTAGGACATAGAGTCGTTTATCAGATCATCATATTTGAGGCCCAGCATGAAGTAGTTCAAGTGAAGAAATAATCTAGTCAAAATGTACAGGGGCCCTATGATGCTTTTTAGGGTTTTCCCTTCCCTGCAGTCTGTTATGAAGGTTTCTGTGTTAATTGTAATATTATAGGAACGAACAACACCGATTTGAAGCTTAGGTCGTCAAGAGGCAGAATAAAATAGCAAAGTAAAACAGTAAAATGTATTAATAATTCCACATCAAGCAAATACATCAGTATAATATAATATATGGAGAAGCTCTTGTTTCTCTAGAGTACACTTTTGGTATTGAAGATCGTAAGTACTTCTTTATAACATTACATCTTAATGTTATGAAAACAGAAACATTGTAAGCAAAGGGTCCTTGGTGTATGTTTATCAGTTTATCCTCCTCTTCAAGTATGTATTTGTGTTCATCTAATTCCATTGAGAGTGGCCTGGGGCACATGCAACTCAACCCCACCACTGAGCAACACGATTTTGATTTAAATATTGCTAAATATGCGTGAAAAGACATGTTTTTATCCAAGTAAGCCTCACTTACAAACAAAATCAGAAACACGAAGACGTGTTTAGGGGGGAAAACTGTTTAACCTTAGATAAAATATGTTGTGCTCATAATAGATCCTTTTTGCTCATAGTAAGATCCTGGTTTTAGAAATAGCAATTTATTTCAAATGCATAACAGAAGCTCATGACAAACAGATCAATGAGTTCGTGTTCAATCTAAAACGACAATGTGTGAACTTTAAAACACAAAAGCCAAACGCTAAGCTGCTACACTTTGAGTCCAGCAGTAACATTGAACATCAAGCAGCTACACAAACGTGTCTCTTAGTTCATACACACTCCGGGTATCATAAAACACAGCTTTAAAGATCAATAACGAGTCAGATAAACCAGTGTCGAGCTCTAAAGATAGACAGAAGCCGCATAGTTATCGTACCTGTCACTTGTCCTGTAACTTCACGCTGTTAGCACCATCCTTCAGGGCGCAGACATCTTGGATTGCTAAAGGCAGCGGCCGGTTTCCTGCCGCAGAGAAAAGGATGCCCCCTGTAGGAGAGGAGGAGGAACTGCAGCCTCCAGGAGCACAGAGAGAGGGTGAGGGCGGACAGGATCAAGATATATAAGGACAGGATGACCTTCAACTGGCATGTACTGGCAGTTTATAGGCTAGTTGCACGAGTTGCACGGGATGACGTATTTCCATTTCCGGTTAATTGAGTGTGTGGTTGTAAACTTCCGGTCTACGGTAGAGCGGTAGAGGGAAGAGCGATAGATAGCGAGATAGCGAGAGATATAGCGATATAGCAAATAACAGCTTTGTTTTCCCCCAAAAGTCATTTTTGCCTGGAAGTGACGCATGTGTTACTCTCATCTATTGATTGATTTATTTGATGCTACTTGCCTATCGTCCTGAGGATGGCGCTAATGTAAACGGAAGTCATCTTCAATTTTCCGGATGGTTTCTGTGTGTTTGAGTGAAACGCGCTTTGTACGACGTCGAGGAGAAGTTAAATACAACATATCTTGATCTAACATTACGTTATTCCTCAAGATGTCTAACACCAAACTGCTGCATTTACGAAGTTTTTTAACTGAACGCTTAACTACCGCGGCCGTGGAGATATTTGGAGAAATAGAAACTATTGTGGAGGCTTACTACGAGGAAAACAAGCGCCTGCGGAATGTGCTGCACATGGTGCTCAACCCAGAGATAAAGCTGTCGAAAATAGGTTTGTCAATTTTGGTTACCTCAAACATAAACATTTTAACTGCCTAGATATGTGAAGTTAATGTGTCTGCATGAGCCTGAATATGAGATAAGACTGGTTAGCTATAGCACGTGACGTAAACAATGTAAACATTCGTTTAGGGACATTTTATATGTGAAAGTGATGCCTCCACAGCAGTTTGTAGCTATCATACCTTAATTTGATGTTACTGAGTGCTCCACAGTTGTTGCTTTTTTATACTTATACTCAAGCACTTTACCCTAAATGTAACCAAACTCTTCTTATACCACTACGGCAAGGCAAGTTTGATATAGCCCCTGGTTATCCAACTGTTATTTTGTGTCCATGACATGGAAGCTATTGAAAAGAGACTACTTAATACAAATTGAAAAAAATTGCATACAAATGTATACCATTTTTAAAAAGAAACACTCAAATCCAATAAAAGAGGTGTGTTTATTTTGTCCAGTGCTGTTATCTGGTATAGATTTGGGAGTCATTGACACATGACATGGAAGCTAATTTGACTATTTAACAAAAAATACTTAATTTTCATTACATTATTTGTAACAATATAAGGTGGACTAAAACCAAATATAAAGAAGTGTGTTATTCTTGTCCAGTGTATGAATACAATGCTGCATTGATTTTGAGTCATTGGGTCAATGTAATTTTT